GAGGCAGGAGACTCGCTTGAGCCCAGGAGTTGGAGGTTGCTGTGAGCTGTAAAGCCACGGCACCCCTCCCCGGGGGACAGCTTGAGGCTCTGTCTCAAAAAAAAAAAAAAAAAAAAAAGACCTGTCCTAACTGGCTCTTCTTCTCCAAGAAAATCTGGCCAGAGCAGCCCTAAGAGTGTCTCAAAGACACGCATTATTTCAAAGAAATACACTACAGAGCACTAAGTATAGAAAGGGTTTTATCCTGGAATATACACACTTGGATATGTGTAAACATACATGTGTGCATTATCTGCATAGCAGTTGTAAATATTCAAGACTTGCATGGGAAAGGAAAACAGAAACCTTTAAAGATTTTCTCACCTTAAAGTTTCAGTTGTTTCCTGAAATGTAGCATCAGATAAAGGTAGAGTTGTGAAGTGGTAAAAAGCTTTTTTTAAAAAAAAAATGTATTAAGTCAAATACACATAGATCATGAATACATTCATGCATATGTGGGGTACAATGTGCTGATTATTTTTTTATACAATCTGACATGGTTACATCAAACCAATCATCATAGCTTTCACCTCATTTACTTATTGTACCAAAACATCTATGTTCTACATTTCACAGATTTGACTTGTAAAAAGCTTTTTATAATTTGCCTGTGTTCTCCCTTGTGAGTTTGCTTTTAGAAATTAACTCAGGTGTTTAGAACATACACTTTCGTCTTTCACCCTGTCTATTGTCATTATCAATATTTTATCTCAGAAGAAGCTTAAGGCAGACTGAAGCAAACCTGATGTTTTTCCTAAAGGAAAATATTTATTATCTGCAAGTATATCATTTCAAGCACTAACTGTACTTCAAAAGTGCTTGTGGTGTTAAGTTCTTGGAAATCGCAAGCACGTTATTGTATCTGTAGAAATTATTACCAATTATGGACAGATTTTTAGCTAGCAAAAAGAATAAAATTTCATAATTATACTTTTTGTTTCTATGAGAAATTCCATGCTAAACCTCAAATGAGAAACATTTCTCGTTCGTTCTTCCTCTTTCTTGTGCCCAAGAGAAGAAACTAATCTCTTGTGACAATAATTTATTCAGTTCCTCAATTACTCATTATCTGCTTAATTCTGGGAAGTAGTGTGTATTCATGAAAGAGCTTAGGAAGGATAGAACCCCTTCCCCAAATACTACAATCTAGTGGAGGCATTGAAATAGAGAACTATTAAAATTAAGGCAAATTGTATTAATAATCTAAAACATTGTCTGTAAGAGTCAAAGACAGAGAGAGAACATCTAGTTGGAGTAAAAAAATTCATAGAAAAAGTGGTGTTTCCTGTGAACTTCAGAAGATGGTAGAAGTCAGATTGAGAAGGTGATCAAAGTAAGTGTCTAAAATAAGGCACTGAGATGAGATGGTATGAGGCATGTTGGGGAAGCATTAGGAAGTCCACTTTCGTGAGCCCTGAGGAGAGTAAAACACACTGGGTCAAAAACAGGATAGAGAACTATAGGATAGAGAGCCCTGGACACCAAAGTGTCTGTACTTCAGTGAGTATGGAGAGCCATTGAGAGGTTTATGGGTGTGTCATTTTAGCTCTGTTGTCTGACTTTATAACAGACAACAGTGGATACAGTGTGGGTACAGTATCCAACTGTGGATACATTTTTCCAGTCCTTTTCTCATACATAAAAAAAAAGCAAATTTAAAAGACCCTCCGTATTAAGTTTTGAGTGTTACAATTATGTTACCATTAAATTATTCAGTTCTATAAATTAAGGTGGTTTTCTTAGTCCTTTTTGGGAAACTTAAATTCTTTCCAGTTTTCTGTTAATACAATTTGTTGTGCAATAGTTCAGATTATTTCCTTAAGATTCGTGTTTAGAAATCAAATTATTGTTTCAAGAGTGTAAATATTTTTTAGACATTTGGCAATATATGCTACACTTCCTCCATAGCAATTGCGTCAGCACTCATTCCTGCCAGCTTAAAGGAGAGTTGTAGTCTCACTATATCCTTACCCATATTTAGTGTCACTATTTCTTAATTGATGGTTCTTTAAATTTGCATTTGATTGCTATTAAGGGTAAACTTCTTTCCATATGTTTTCATCCATTTGTAGTTTAAACATTTTTATTAGTATGGCTTTGAATATTGGTATGGGCTTTTCTTGTTGATGACACTTCTACTTTTTTTTTTTTTTTTAGTTTTTTAATATGTTCATAATTACCCATTCCTTTTTGGTTTCTTCTATTGCTGTTAATTTTCTCTCACTTAATGACTTTCTAGTGTTTTAATTTTGGTTTGGTTTGGTGTGTTATTTTTTAATTTTGAAATTTTGTTTATATATTGAATGTATGAAACATAAACAAAATAAACACCCATGTACTCACCAGTCAGCCAAAGAATGGGAACCTCCCAGTGCCTTAGAAGCCTTCCTCAGTCCCCTCAGCCCTGCCATTCAGGGGACAGTTAACTTTTCCTACATTTTGTGTCACTCATTCTCTTATCTTTTTTTTTTTCCTTTTTTTTACACGGAGTCTCACTGTGTTGCCCTTGGTAGAGTTCTATGGCATCACAGCTCACAGCAACCTTGAACTCTTTGGCTTGAGCGATTCTCATGCCTCAGCCTCCCAAGTAGCTGGGACTACAGGCACCTGTCACAACACCCCCCATTTGTTGTTGCAGTTGTCATTTTTGTTCAGCTGGTCCTGACCAGGTTCGAACCCGCCAGCCCTGGTGTATGTGGCTGACGCCCTAGCTGCTGAGCTACA